TAAGGGATTCCTGCCCACAGCAGTAGATATAATGGTCATCTGAGTTAAATTCACCCATTCCAGTTCCATATTAGTTCACTGATTCCTAGAATGTCGATGTTCACTCTTATCTCCTGTTTGACCACTTCCAATTTGCCTTGATTCATGGACCTAACATTCCAGGTTCCTATGCAATATTGCTCTTTACAGCATCAAATCTTGCTTCTATCACCAGTCCCATTCACAACTGGGTGTTGTTTTTGCTTTGGCTCCATCCTTTCATTCTTTCTGGAGTTATTTAGTGCTTATCGTATTCTGTCTCAAATGGTCATGGGTGTATTTGCCTTGTCTAGCTTCCTAGATTTTAAACTTTGTGTTTTACATCCACATATGTAGCACTGAGCACAGTCTTACATATTTTGGTGTTTAATATGTGTTGAATTATATTTTCCATGTCCAAGGAATCTTCCAGAAGCCCCTATTATATACAGATTCTTGTATAATACTGGTTATTCAGCATACTTTAAAAAAATCTTTCTGCTGTTTAGGAATATGTAATTGACAAGCTCCTTTTGCATACCCTATCAGTGGAACAATAGTAGCAGCCTGTGCACCAAATATAGCAATAACATTCCAAGGGTATTATTCAAACCCACACTTGTCCTAACAGTTACACTACAGAATAGCTATTACTACTGTTATCCCCATTTTACAGTTGATGAAACCAAGGCCAGATTGTAACTTCTCCCAGTTACAAAGGCAGTGAGTAGAAGTGGAACTGGGATGCAAGCATCCTGCCCCTCAAAATATGACTTTACAGATGGAAGACAGGCTGTGGTGTCACCTAACTGTTCCCCTCAGAAACAAGAAGAGGGATCAAAACCATCTGTATCAGGGGGTATGATTATTGAGCCATAAAATAAAGGTGAAATTATGAAAAACAAAAAGCAATTAAAATTCAGTTTTGGTCATGGCTATTATTCACATTAGTAAAATCCTTCTGCAGTTTTAATACAAGGGGATATTTATGAATGACCATAGACCTTTCAAACAAAGCTAGTGGAGCTGATGGAATTCCAGTTGAGCTTTCAAATCCTGAAAGGTGATGCTGTGAAGGTGCTGCACTCAATATGCCAGCAAATACGGAAAACTCTGCAGTGGCCACAGGACTGGAAAAGGTCAGTTTTCATTCCAATTCCAAAGAAAGGCAATGCCAAAGAATGCTCAAACTACCACACAATTGCACTCATCTCACATGGTAGATGCTCAAAATTCTCCAAGCCTGGCTTCAACAATACGTTAACCGTGAACTTCCAGAGGTTCAGGCTGGTTTTAGAAAAGGCAGAGGAACCAGAGATCAAATTGCCAACATCCACTGGATCATCGAAAAAGCAAGAAAGTTCCAGAAAAACATGTATTTCTGCTTTATTGACTATGCCAAAGCCTTTGATTGTGTGGATCACAATAAACTGTGGAAAATTCTGAAAGAGATGGGAATACCAGACCACCTGACATGCCTCTTGAGAAACATGTATGCAGGTCAAGAAGCAACAGTTAGAACTGGACATGGAACAACAGCCTGGTTCCAAATAGGAAAAGGAGTAGGTCAAGGCTGTATATTGTCACCCTGCTTATTTAACTTATATTCAGAGTACATCGTGAGAAACGCTGGGCTAGATGAAGCACAAGCTGGAATCAAGATTGCCGGGAGAAATATCAATAACCTTGAATATGCAGATGACACCACCCTTATGGCAGAAAGCGAAGAGGAACTAAAGAACCTCTTGATGAAAGTGAAAGAGGAGAGTGAACAAGTTGGCTTAAAGTTCAACATTCAGAAAACTAAGATTACGGCATCTGGTCTCATCACTTCATGGGAAATAGATGGGGAAACAGTAGAAATAGTGTCAGACTTTATTTTTCTGGGCTCCAAAATCACTGCAGATGGTGACTGCAGCCATGAAATTAAAAGACGCNGAAATAGATGGGGAAACAGTAGAAATAGTGTCAGACTTTATTTTTCTGGGCTCCAAAATCACTGCAGATGGTGACTGCAGCCATGAAATTAAAAGACGCCTACTCCTTGGAAGGAAGTTATGACCAACCTAGACAGCATATTAAAAAGCAGAGACATTACTTTGCCAACAAAGGTCCATCTAGTCAAGGCTGTGGTTTTCCCAGTGGTCATGTATGGATGTGAGAGAGTCATGTATGGACTGTGCAGAAAGATGAGCACCGAAGAATTGATGCTTTTGAACTGTGGTGTTGGAGAAGACTCTTGAGAGTCCATTGGACTGCAAGGAGAGCCAACCAGTCCATCCTAAAGGAGATCAGTTCTGAATATTCATTGGAAGGACTGATGCTGAAGCTGAAACTCCAGTACTTTGGCCACCTGATGTGAAGAGTTGACTCACTGGAAAAGACCCTGATGCTGGGAGGGATTGGGGACAGGAGGAGAAGGGGACGACAGAGGATGAGACGGTTGGATGGCATCATCGACTCAATGGACATGAGTTTGAGTAAATTCCAGGAGTTGGTGATGGACAGGGAGGCATGGCGTGCTGCAGTTCATGGGGTCACAAAGAGTCAGACACGACTAAGTGACTGAACTGAACTGATAGAGCTTCCCAGGTGGTGTTAATGGTAAAGAACCTGCCTGCCAATGTGACGTAGAGAGTTGCAGGTTTGCTCCCAGGGTTGGGAAGACCTCCTGGGGGAGGGCATGACAACCCACTTCAGTATTCTTGCCTGGAGAATCCCATGGTCAGAGGAGTCTGACAGGCTACAGTCCACGGGGTTGCAAAGAGTTGGACATGACTGAAGCAACTTAGCATGCACACATATAGTTTATATTCCATTTTTAGGTGAGTAGAGAGTGAATATATTTGTAATTTTAGTATCAATTTCTTTTCATTTGAAGTGATCTTTAATTCTTCTATTTTAAAAGTCCTAATATGTTGTCTTAGGTTTTTGTAAATAGCTTGGTTGCAATGAAGCACACATTAAGTGTAGCTTTACAAGGAATTGGGGGCATCTAAAGCTGATGATACAAAATGGGTTCCTGTGTGTAGAAGTACTCAGTCTCACACAGAAAGCCTCATGGTTTTCACAGCCTCTTGTGTCTCAGACTCTTTCACCCCATTCCTGAAAACAAGGGCTTGAAAATATTACACAGAAATATCCACCCAAAATAGTGGAAAAATTTGAGAGAACTACAGAGCTTCTGCCAGCAGAGGGAGACCTTGGCTTACTTTTACAAGTCTGTTTTCGTGGCAAACAGAGGTCCAAACAACAGTAATGTTTCTCAGTAGTTTACTACAAAAACATCCCGCTGAAAATATTTTTTAACATATATGTGGCTTAGCTTTGACAGCATCTCTTCTTTTCAGCATCACTGAAGAGGTATTTACATCAAACAGTTCAAATGAGACACTAAGGGAAGTCATAGATGGAAATCCCGGAGTGTTTTTTTTGCCTGTTTTGTAGAAAGTGCAAAATGGGTTTATTTTCCCATGAAATCATGACTTCTGAAATCAATTAGCATCATCAATGATGACAGCTAAATTTCCCAGAAACTTGGGGATATTATGAGAGCTTTTATTTTACAAGGGTGATTATGAGCCCTTAAGGAAAAACCAAGATTCTCTGAACATCTTTCTGTTGCACCAGTTTTTATTCACTTTAATTATAAACAGATTCCAACCCAAATGTTCTTTCTTTATTAAAATTATGAAAATATTAAAAATAAATACAGATGGTAGAGAGGATGTCTGTTGTCAGTTGCCATTTTAAACTGCTGCCTATTTTACAGTAATCCTTTTTAGAAACAAATCTTAAGACTTAGAATTCTAGCTGGGTCCCAAACAGCTACTAACATTAACTTTTCATCTGTATCTAATAAAGATAGGGAGCTAAGCCCAACTGCAGTGTATTTTGCTCTCCTCTCTCCTCCCATTTTCGTTTCCCAAAATAAATGAAAATTAGTTTACATAAATTTCTAATATAAACTTGAAAGGAATTTAATTATCCAAAGTGAATGTATCTGCAAAACTTTTTCAAATATATTTTCAGATTTTAATGACTATGGTAGATTTTTTTAATTTCTCCTCATTTTGACAGTATACCCTAATCCAGACCTTGTGACTTAACCACATATTTCTAAGTTAGTATTTTCCTCCTTTACAAAACTTGTCAAAATTCAATGATTATTAGATGTTAAGGGAGGAAGTGTTGTATACATTCAAAGAAAAACTTGCAATTTATAACATATTTTTTAGAATTTGCAATAGTCTCACAAGTAAGTCAAATTAACGGTATACCAGAATATACTCAAGAGGAAATATCTGGTTCTGATGTGACTAGAGAACATAACGTAACAGGCTTGACATCAGGGACCCTTACTGAGCAGTGTGCATGCCTGGCCACACATGACACCCTTGACAAGCACCAGTACCATGATTAAAGCGTGAACTGTGGAGTCAGACTCCCTGGGAGCAGGTCCCAGCTCCACCACTTTGTAGTTATGTGACCTTGGGAAAGTTACTTAACCTCCCTGCACGCTTGATGCCTCATCTGAAAATGGAGATAGGAAAGGTACTTGCTCATAGGGTTTCTGTGAACATGAAATTAGTTAATGCTGGTAAAGCACCTAGAAAAATACCTGGCAACATGTAAGTGCCATACAAGTATTTTTCATATTGTATTTGACCTTATTTACCTCCTGAGTGGGGCTGGCTTAAAGGCTGTGCCACCGGTGCAGTCACACAGGGCCTCGTGCTGAGACGGGCCCCGTGCTTGCTCTAAGTCTCTGCTGCTGTCCTCTTGAAATTCTTAGTAACTCTGAACAAAGGACCCTGCGCTTACCTTCTGCACTCAGTTCAGTCACTCAGTCGTGTCCAACTCTTTGCGACCCCATGAACCGCAGCACGCCAGGCCTCCCTGTCCATCACCAACTCCCAGAGTCCACCCAAACCCATGTCCATTGAGTTGGTGATGCGATCCAGCCATCTCATCCTCTGTCGTCCCCTTCTTCTCCTGCCCTCAATCTTTCCCAGCATCAGGGTCTTTTCCAATGAGTACCTTCTGCACTGGGCCCCAAATATTCGGTACCTGGTCCTGCCCTGGAGGTAGATGGTGTCACTGTCCCCTTCTGCTACATCTGGCTGGGGCTTTAGACAAGAACAGCCTCTGTGTTCTCGCCTGTAAACTGTGAGTCTAACTACTGCCCTGACAAGGCTCTTGGAAGAGTTAAGTAAGATAATATGTAAGCAGTGATTGGCACATGTAAGTTCTCAGAGGTATATTCTGTTCACATTTATGGTGATAAAAATTAACCCAATGTTTCTTCACTTCTCCTATAAATACATATTCTTGCCTACAGTTACAAGAAAGTTTTCAGTGCAGTTAAAAGTTTGTTGAAAATACAGAATAAAATCATAAAACTCATCTCTGGAAAATTAAGATAGGTTTACAAGAAGAAAAGATCACACCTTTACTGTTATAGATAGGACTTACCAAAATTTGAGGCTTCTGTAAATCTTAAAGCTGAACAAGTTCTTTGTTCTATAAACCTAGGCTAGAGAAGAACTCAAGTGACTTGAATTTGGGTGAGAACTGATAAAACCCTGGGGAAATTTTTCAAATAAGTATATTAAGAAGTATGCTCAAAGTCAAATCAAAGCACTGAGGAATACATCAACCCAGTATTTATTCATAATAAACATTACCGCTACTTTCACAGTGAATGACTGAGGCATGACCTCTACACTATGAAAGCAAAGGAAAATGTGACTAAGAAGAAACTGCTTGATACTTTCATTAATTTGCAATCTTTCAAATTTAGGTTATTATTACTTTTGTTACTGCGGCTTCCCTGGTGGTCAGACGGTAAGGAAACCTCCTGCCATGCGAGAGACTTGGGGTCGATCCCTGGGTTGGGAAGATGCCCTGAATAAGGGAACAGCTACCCACTCCAGTATTCTGCATAGTCCATTGGGTTGCAGAGTCAGACACGACTGAGTGACTTTCACTTCACTTCTTCACTTTTGTTACTAATAGGATACTTCATGAAGTAATAGGATACTTCATGCCTTAATATTACTTGTACTGTAGAAAGTAAATAAAGCATTTCTGCAGACTTTGATGACATGTATTAGATGTTTTTTCAAACAAAATTTAAAAGTCAAAATAACATACATTCTTCTATGACTTAATTTAAAACACAGGATAGAAATTAATCTCTAAGATAAGCCTTCTCAAGAAAATTAGAGTATAGCAGTTTTTGACCAAAAAATACAATTATGAAAATTATTAATTATATCTCTATAAAATGAAGAACATTTGCTCTTTGCACAACAGTATCTACTGCTGAAAACAAAACTAATGAAAAGCCTCTTGTGATCACAAGATACATTCTGACATATTTTTATATCCACCCGCCAAATTTTAATTTGTTAGGTAAGTATACTCTGGAAAGATAGTCTGATGATAGGAAGGTCAAAGCTTGAATTTCTGCCTTCATTTTAGAGTCTGCCATTATTTCCATCTGTCAATAAAAGTAAACTATAGTCATACCAGAGTCCTTTGCTACAGTTCTGTCAGCTCAAACTGGTAAATCTAGATTTGTTTTAGTCTCCAACACCATGGGCAATAAACTTTAGGTCAGCCGGAATATTTTAGAGCTGCTACAGCTGAAAATATTAGTATGGATTCCTTCAATAGTTAGGAATGGTCTGGCATCTTTATAATTTCCTTCACTCCTTTTTTCCTTCAAGAACTACAATAGAACCGTAGACAATGGGTATTTAACTATGATGAGAATAAATTAGGTCAACTCCACCCAGCTAACCTTATCTATTAGCATTCACAATTCAATGTTTCAGCAACAATTTACTGCCAAACAATGCACATGGCATTTGCTAGTTATATAAAAATTCAAGGATAGCTTCAAAATATGATGCAAATAGCCACTGCTAAAAGTAAAAAGCAATAAAACATGACATTTGCATTTTAAAAAGAAACATACTTCTTTTCTCCAAAATGGTTGGCAAGTAATATAAGGTCTCTTTAGGATGCTGTCAAGTTTCATCTGGTCCCGTTTTGTCAGTGGAATTAAAGTACATTTGGGTATATTTAATCTGGGGGAAAAAAATAGGTAAAAAAAATCAGTAAAAACAAAGTGCTCCTGTAACTTTAAGGTCACATACATTTCATTTTTATTTATCGTGCTATTTCAAAAGACGAAGAAATAACAGATGAAAAAATCAGTACAGGTTCACTTTTAAATATGGAGTTTGAGGGAATCTGGTATGTCTTCGACCAGCAAGTGTTCAAGATCATAGTGGAGGTCTGTTTCAAATTCTTGTTTTCTTTCATGCCACACTCACAGGATGATGACAGGAAGATAGACATTCGTTATAAAACAAATGCCGGGAGCACTAACATCATGTGTCTCAACACCAAGGCTGCCCCCAGAGCACCGCAGTCTTAGAGCAGTGAGTGCCAGTGTGTGTGTGGCCAGCAGCGAGATCCACTGTGGGATTTCAGGTCCCACTGAATCTTTAATTCTTTGAAATTCAATGAGAATTTTCTGGGCCAAGGAAGTTAGTCTATCAATTTTCACTTATGCAGTCATGCGTGCACACAGACGTACGTACACACATCTATCTTGTTTAAAATTTTTAAAAAGTGGATTGTAATTTTATCTTGGTATGTGTTTTAAAAATAGAACATGAAAAAAAAAATAGAACATGAGAGGTCCAGGATTTATGCTGTGAATTGCTTTTTGAAGTCACAAATCCTGGATTTCCCAGCAGAGCTCTAGTTTCAAACAGTCTTTCTCAATGTCCCCACAATAATGACTATTTGCCACTGGCAGCTCCTGGATAGGGTGACAATTTGATTGAAAGGGAGGCCTAGAGGATTTCCCTTGAAGCCATGTTTGTGTAGCTATCATGCTATATTTTCTTTGATTGTACATTTATTTAGAGTACATTTATTTTGAGGGCACTGGTGGAATTAATGAGATACACCTAGAGTTTCTTCGTTTTCTGCCTTAATCAGATTCTCTGTCCTAAACTTGTATTAGAAACGATCTCAATACAAATAGATCACCCCCAAGGGATTTTGACCATGATGTATACACTAAACTGAACAAGACTTTGATTCACTACAGCGTAAACATTCGAAAGTCAAAACCTGAATGTTTTCTCTTGTGCCCTCATTTTGTAAGAAGCACTGATCATTCCATTTTTAGAAAATAAGCGCGTTTAACCAAGGTTTGCTCACTGCTTGAAGAAACCCAAATATGTTTAATTTCACTCTCACCTCTCACTAGCCAATTGAAACAATAAAATATCTTAAAATATCACATTAGCAGAGATGAATAAAGTGATAATGTCTTATGCTGAGGGGCAGGTGGGCTCTTACTCTCCAGGGAAGACAAAATAATTAACCTATCCAGAGGGCAGCTGAAGCCTTAAAAATGTGCATACCCTTTGACCCAGCAATTCCGGGAATTCAGCCTATGGGACTAATTAAGGATACAGGCAAAGATTCAGTCACTAGAGGGTCGGTCAGAGGACTATCTTTCAAAACAGAGATTTGGAACCCATCCAAAAGTCCAACTACAAGGGACTGACCAAATAGACACACTCAGAATTGAAACCAAGTGGAAGAAGACATTCAAATAAGATTATAGGGATGTATTTATTGATAAGGAAGTGCAATTACATTGTGTTGTAGGAGAAAAGAAGATTACAAAATCAAGCTCTTTCAAATTCTTTTGGAAGAAATTATGGCAATGCACAGCAAATAATCTACAAGGGCAGAACTGTTCGTCTATAGGTGACTTTTATCCTGTTACTTAATGATATTTTTTTCTATAATGAATACATATATCTTAAAACTGACAAAATGTGGATCCCCCAACTTTACGTAATCTTAAAATGAGATTTTTAAATGAAATTAAGAACCTATGATAAAATCAATTCAGATGGCAAATGGTGTTGTCAATGATTACTATTTAGATTCAATGTCTTAATACTTTGTAAGTATAAAGAAATTATTAAAGACTTTAACCATAAGGGTAAAACAAAAAAAGTCTTCTAACTAGCTAAAGGCTCAATTAACCAAATATATTTAAGTATTTTAGTAGTTGAAACAGAAATATCGATAAATTAAATTTATAATGATATGATCCTGAGTTATCGTGAACAACATAAGTAAAAAACAGTAAGCACTTCTCCTGGTAGTAACTCTTCAGGCTGAGTGCTACATGTTACAGTGAGTCATCATTTTAAATACCCTCATTCTGCCAACTGTCTAACCTTTTGATATCAGAAGGGAGGAGACCAAGCCATCTAATAGCTGGAACTGTGAGATTATGGGCTTCAAAAGACATAGCCTAAAATAAAGAGCAGAAGTATATTAGCTAAACCTTTTGCAGAGAACTAGCAATACTTGTTTTTGCAGCAAATTTTTTTCAACTTATTAAGGACTAGTACTGAAGACTTCACACTCCCCGAGGCCTCAGAAGTAAGAAAATCACCAAGAGCTTAGCTAAACTGGACCTTCAGTGGAGGTTTTAAAACTGCTGTATACTATTTCTGTGTTGATTTTCTATAACATGAAAGTACAAATGACCCTCTCTGACCCAAATTTATTGTCGTTTGTGATTCCACACCTTAATCCCTTGCTCCACCATCCTTTTCTTCTGCTATAAACATACATATCAGGGACACACAAAGTGTATACCAGTGGTTCCCAAATTTAACCTTGAGTCAGGAACACTTGGAGGGCCCACCCTTAGAATTTCAGACTCAGGACGTCTGAATGGGGACTGAGATTTGCATTTCTAACAACTTCCCAGGACCACATTTTGAGAACCACTGATGTGTAGCAGTTGCAGTCCCTAGTGGTAAAGTTTGGTGGTCTTTTCATTTCTCCCGATGGTTGGAATTGGAAAAGTCAGAATTCAAGACTATATATAATTTTCAGGGTATAATTGGTAATCAGTGTTGTTATGCTGAGGGCTTGCCGTTACTTCAGCAGGCCAGGAGAGTGGAGGATAATTAAGGCCTCTTGCCCGAAGGTAATCCCACTCTGTCATCTGCAGTCACACTGGTTATGCTGGAAGCTGGAATCATAAACTCTGAAACAGAGCAGCCCTAGACTAGGACAGTAGCTTCCCTGGTACCTTTTGGGCGCCCTCAGCTTACTAGGGGCTGATAAGTAAATGCAGAAATCACTCCAATGAATAATACAAACTATCTCAATAGTGGAAAAGGAAAAATATTTTTCTATACTTACCATAGATCCATACTTATAGATACACATTATCTCTATGCCTGTTAAAAGAAAGTTAACTTTGAAATTTGTCTTCTTGCATATTAGAGTTAGATAATTATATCTAACATCTGCAATTTTTATTTTTGTGGACAATACCAGTGGAAAATTTAGGGTTCAGTTTAATACAGTAAAAAACAATAAATGTCCCAAGTGATTAGTCATTCATTTAAATCTAATAATCATATTATTTTAAAGTATTTTATGAAAGTGTTCTATGAGGAGAAGAACACAGCTATAAATATGATTTGATTATGACTATTTCAGATAGTCTAACAATAAATTACCATGTGGATCAGCATCTACCAGAGTGAAAACAGGAATGTGAAATGTATCCCACAACTTCTTGACTAGAAGTCTTGTGTTCAGATCAGGCACCCCCTTTCCCTAAAAGCAAGGATTGAAATCATGCATTTTAATTTCAGTAGAATGAAACTGATGACACTGTATCCTTATTTTATTATTAACATAAATATCTTCATAACTCGACTTAATTATCCCAGGTCTATGTAAATATTTTAGCAGAAACAGAAGTAATAAAAAATGTGACATACATAAGGATGTCCACTGCAGTGTTACTTAAAAGGACAGAAACCACAGTAAATATCCAAAAGATCTAACAACAGGCAGCACAGCACAGTGGTGGCATGCATCAGCTTCAGAGCCGACTGCCTGCGCAGGCGTCTGGCTCTGCCGCTTCTTAGCAGCAGGGACCTTAACAGTCATGAAAACTCTCTGAGGTTTGGGGCTTTGTAATAACACCTTCTAATATTATTATAGGAACTAAGTTATTTAATAATTATTAAAGCATTTAAAAATATCTGGTTTAAACTCAGGATTTAATAAAACCAAACAGTAGAATAGTATTATGAAGTGATTAAAACAATAATTATGTAGAAAAATAATTTGAAGAGCATTACAATAATGTTAAAAGAGAGAACAGGAAACCAAACGAAATGTGGAACAGGGAGGAAGCAAGTAGAGATGAGAACGGGCTTTTGATGGGAGAGCCCTGAGTCTGAATTCCCTCTCCACCAATCACTAGTGGGTTTCCTAGTCTCTTTAGGCTATGGCTTTATTTATAAAACTGGGCTAAATATGCCTACCACCCAGAGTTATGGCACTGCAGCAATGTGGGGTTGAACTATCTTAATCCCAGTACTAGTTTTTTTTTTTAATATGTATTTATTTAATTTACTTATTTGACTGTGTCTGGTCTTAGTTGCAGCACACAGGATCTTCTGTTGTGGCACTTGGGCTTTGTTGCCCTGTGGAGTGTGGGATCTTAGTTCCACGACTTGGGATTGAACCCACATCCCCTACACTGCAGATTCCCAATCATTGGACCACCAGGGGAGTCCCTCTCCAAGTCCTAGTTTTGACCAGCCTTGAGATCGTGGTGAAACACCTTCCTGGGTCCTGGTGTCCTATTGTTAAAATGGGGATGATAACACCTACCTCATAAGGCTGGAGAGACTTTACAAGTTGATGTGAGGGCATGAAGAGAAGGGGGCAACAGAGGATAAGATGGTTGGATGGCATCACTGACTCAACGGACATTGAGTCTGAATAAGCTCTGAGAGACGGTGAAGTAGAGGGAGCTGGTGTGCTGCAGTTCATGGGGTCTGAAAGAGTCAGACACAACTGAGTGACTGAACAACAAACAACACAGAAGACGGCAGTAAATGTGAACCCTTATTATGTAAAGTGCCTAGCAGAGTTCCTGGTGCATCACGAATACATAGTGAATGGTAGTGTACTTTAATTGTTTCCTTTGGGAGAGAGAACCCATATGTGTGGTAGAGGAGTCAGACAGTACCAAAGATTCCTTCCTAGCCCAACCCTCAACTCTCAGTTCCCCTCTGCAGGGGCAGCTACTACAGGCCAGCTTCTAGTGGGTGTTTCACCATAGTAACAACAGCAGGTATCAATGGATGCCATGACAGCACCAACATGTAGGCAGACAAAGACTAGAAGGCAGCATTCAAGAGGAAAGACAAGGTAAAAAGAGAAATGTGACCAAGAGCTGAGCTTTATGTGCATCTCCAGTGCACTAGTATCAGCTGTGATTCAAACTCCAAGGGCTGAAACGGAGGCCTGGGCCACTGTTGGTTTCTTTGTCTATAATGGCTTGTCTTCTGATCAGCCCAGCAAACATGCACTCTCACCAGGAAGGTGTGAAAGAGCAGGAAGACTCCACCAAAAGTGAACCACAGGACAACGCCACTGAGAGATCACTTCAGGGGTTCAGCTATGGCCTTTATTACTGACAAGGTCTCAGTGTACACTTTGTCATAACTGTTCTCCCCTCTCTTCAAACTGAGCAATGCCACTAGGATCTCCTCTTATCATTTCAAATTTTTATCTCTAAGACTACATTCAACATCTTTTTTCTACGAAGAACCAAGCCTCCCTTGCCACTTGTTCTATAGCATCCATGGGGATATCGTGGTAAAGCTCCACACAACAGAGTCGCTTGGACTCCTTCCTCTCATCCCGTGGTCATCACGTCCTTTTAAACTTGCCTTGGAAATGTCCTTCGCTTGAGTCCTTTCTCTTTAACCATTTCCCTGGCAACCTGCCACCAAGGTAACTACCTGAGAGCCTCCAGACAGGATCCCTGAATCCAGTTGTCTCTCTATCCATCTAACTGATGATGCTACCACACAAATCCTTGTCATTTCCTTTCTCACTTTTGTTAACACTTGATAGTTTTGTACTAAATCAGGATACCTCCTGGGGGTGGCCAGGCCTTCTAAGATGCCAACAGCTGCCCAACATCCTGCTCCCTCAGCAGGGCAGCTCTCCTCACTGCTTCCAAAAACATACCTTACAAGCATCATACTTACTATTAATAAGCCAGGAGAACTGTAAGTAGATGAGCTTTTTTTTTTTTCTTCAGAGAACTAGGTCTTTATGCAGATCTGTAAGAGTGGAGGAAGGCTGGCACAGGAGGGGGAACCTGATGTGTCTGTTGCCCTCCCATCATCTCACTGACCCACACCCCTGGCTTCCTGTACTGCCACCTCTTTCTTCCCCAGGCCAGCAGATGTCATTGGTCTCCCCGGTTTATGAACAACTCCCACATTATCCTTTGCTAATTATTGCCTGTAGTTCTCTGTGTATTACCTCAACATATGCTTCTGTGTTCTCTGCTCTTCTTTCAACAGCATACAAACCGTGTGAGGAAGAACAAGGAGTAGCTCTTGTTCATTCAACCCTGTCAAAGCTCCCATGTTACCATATTATAGTCAAGACAAGTAGCCCCTGTGGGAATGGTGTGAGGGTGATACTGAGAGCCTATGTAAACTTACATTTTTATTAGAAAATCTGGTATTTAAGAATCGGGACCATCATCTTGATTTCAGTCAGATTTGAGGATGGTTAAATAAATGCCTCAGAAATTCTTGTTCTATAATCCCAAAGGATGCTTCATAGTGACAAGAGAATGCTGTTCAAACTCACAGATGATGTTATAAACCACTCTTGTGTGTATATGTGTGTGTATATGTGTTGTGTCTGACTGTTTCCAATTCCATGGACTACAGCCCACCAGGTTCCTCTGTCCTTGGGACTTCTCAGGCAAGAATACTGGAACAGGTTGCCATTTCCTACTCCAGGGGATCTTCCTGACCCAGGGATATAACCCATGTCTCCAGCAGTGGCAGGCGGACAAACCGCTCTTACTGATCACCAAAGTAGCCCATTAGTCTAGTAATTGAGGTCAAAGTAGATAATATACCGTAACCATGATGCATGGAGACATTTTGTTGCAGAAGTTGTCATCCAGGAGGCGCTGAAATGTTGCATCTTTTTCCACAATTAGCAGAAATTTCGCATCCGTAATTAAATCTGTGAAGTTAAGGCTGATAAATTTAAGGCAGGTGTGTTTCAACTGAACCAGTAATTGTAAGTAACAATGCCATATCAATCAATTCAAAAGTAGCTATAGATATAGAATTTTTGTTTTTACCTTCACAGGTCAGATACCTAGTCTCTTCCAGGGCATCTTCCCAACCCAGGGATCGAACCTGCTTCTCTTGCTTCTCCTGCATTGGCAGTCAGATTCTTTACCACTAGCTCCACCTATTCACACACAGTATTCACATATCTGTCTTTGTTACTAGATAGTGAGCTAAAAATATCCTAGAAAAGGGAGCATGGTATGTTCATCTTGACCAATAGAGGGTATGGCTTACTGGTTACATATTATGAAGGCTTGATTTATTAAAGTAAAAATGAATGAACATTCTGTAAGTTTAAATAGCTTTCTCACTCAAAGGATACTCTGAATTCCTTGAATATTAGATGGCACAGCAACAGCCTAAGTAACAAGAGGAGACAGTTTTTATTTTAAATAAATAGCAAATATAACAACATTTGGGCTTCTCTGGTGGCTCAGACGGTAAAGAATCCACCTGCAAAGTGGGAGTCCTGGGTTCGATCCCTGGGTTGGGAAGCTCTCCTGGAGGAGAGCATGGAAACCCTCTTCAGTATTCTTGTCTGGAGAAGAGTCTGGCAGGCTCTTCCCTTCTCCAGGAGAAGACTCTGGCAGGCTACAGTCCGTGGGGTCGCAAAGAGTTGGACATGACTAAGGAGTAAGCAAACATACACAATAACATTTTAAAATGTATCAAGAACACTTTTTGTTGTTGTTTAGTCACTCAGTTGCAACCCCCATGGACTGTACCTCACCAGGCTCCTCTGTCCATGGGATTTCTCAGGCAAGAATATTGGGAGTGGGTTGCCATTTCCTCCTCCAGGGGACCTTCCCAAGCCAGGGATTGAACCTGTGTCTCTGAGTCTCCTGTATTGCAGGTGGATTCTTTACCACTGAGCCACTGGGGAAGCCCTATATTTTCATTTTTTAAAAATACACTGTCATCAGAAGTCTACGCCTCAGTAAGAAAATAGTAGGACACAGATTTACTTTTCAATAAGAAAAGAGACATACAAGCCAAACTACTTCCCAGCAGGTGAAAATTTCTTGGAAACTTTATAGATATGTGGCTTAAAAAGCAGAAACTGATGAAGGAAAGACTTCCTTATGTAGAATCTCATAGGTGTCATTCTCCTCTTTCCAAAATGGTGAGTTAACCATTTCCAAACTTCTGTGCTAGTTCTGTGACTTTCCATGTACTAAAGCCTAGCAAACACTTTAGTCTCAAACTTACAAATTTCAGAACCAGAAAATTTTATGAAGATACATAAATAGCCATGCTAAAATGGTCAAGTCACATTCTGCCTGAAAACAGTGCATTTAAAAAAAAGGAATGTGTATGTTTGTTTATTTCAATGTGACATCTGACAATTGGCATATTTGGAAACTGGGTAATGTACAACCCCATAAAGCATATACCTATTCATCCTTTCATTTTTATTTAAAGTCTTAAACTCTGAACTACATAACAAAGCCAGTCAATAAAGTGCATTTCAAACACAAAGGAGTTTGAAATGGAGTGGAAGCACGTGAACACATTATGATGCTTACTGTTGCACGTGTGCAGTTCACCTTGGTGCCATCTTCCTCGAGGTACTTTAAATCGCCAGCAATTAAACCTTTTGATGTAGACAGCTGAAAAAAGTAATAGTCATCTATGAAACCTTTTTCTCAAGTGCATTTTATGCTTCTAAGTCCCTTCTCATGTTCACCTGCTAAATTATATAGGCATTTTGGATCAGACTGGAATTTAAGAAATAAAGGAGAAAATATGTAAGCGTTTATGAATGAAAAGTGTCTGACAATTCATCAGTTTTGCTTCCTTTAGCCAAGGGGATATACTGAGACTAGATTATTTAAATTCATAGTGAGAAAAACATAATATCAAAAATATGAAAAGAAGGCACAGGTTACATTTATTCTATTTTCATACATTTTGTGTTAAAATATCTTGTATTAAATGCTACTTACTATATGCAGACTCCTCCTCGGCACTTTTAACATACAGGAAATATCATTGATAATATTGTCCACAACAGTCTGGTTACCAAAGAGTTGGCTGTCAGTGTAATAAATGTCTCTGTGAAAATTTTTAAATATATATATTTTAATTAACCATATTTTCTCTGAATATGATAAATATTGGAATACTAACTGAAGAAAGCTTTGAGTGGGTGTAAACAAATAATTTATTACCCACAGTCTAGTTTTATGTAACTTTTCAAAACATATAATGAAAGTCAATCCCACTTAACCTCACAACACATTTCAAAGAGTAATTTATTAGAACAATGTACTTACCTTTTGGTTGCATAAGTGTTGCTCTGTACTAATTTATAAATCATGGAAAATATTTTAAGAATTAGTGCTGGAAAATAAGATGGAGTAAGTGAGTTACTCATCACTTACAAAAATCAAAACATTCTGTGATCAAGGATTAACTCTCTCCAGTTACTTTCCACAACATTATAAAAATTATCTTTCCAAAAGAGAAGTGTTAAGTACAGAATGATAATTGTCTACAAGTTAGATAAAATTAAGTGTTTTATGTACAGCAAAATTGAAAGAATATTTTTCCATTGAATCATATACTTGAACATTCATTTTGGAATAATACTTTACTTCCACATTTATTGACAATGCAAAATTCTATAAATTTATTTCAAGTACAGGATGGCCTATTAATTAACAAGTAAAATAATTTAGCTCAGAACAACTATGACCCAGAAAGTAATCAAAATTATTTATTTTACCACTAAAAGCTATGAAAGATGAATTTACCAAAATTTTTAACTGATTTTGGTGAATCACTTTTGATTTTTCTTGTGGTACAATGAGATACCATGTGAAGACCCACAGAATCTTCAAACCTGTCATTTTGTTTAAAGCAAGGGAATAGAATAAAAAAGAGTTAACTTCTGAACACCAAACAACATACAATATATGTCCTCTTCTGAACATCATTTAAATCCACATTTCTTCTCAATGTAAGCACTGAAGTTTTAGGATAACCTCGTTTATAAGCTTAGATAATTCCAAGTGGTAATCAGGTAATTATCTTTGCAACATACAGAGGCACTAAAAGAGTGTTTAAAATACATGAATTAAACACCTTTGATTATAGTGTATGTGCATGTGTGTGTATTTCTTTCCTGGGAAGACATTTAGGGTATGTGAACTATTATAAATTATTTCACAATTTTATTAGAATTTTGCTTATTGATTTAATACTTTTATTCAATTTAATAAGATTTGAAATATTTCATTTAATTTACCCCCAAAGTTACAGTAATGAAATAAGTTTATACTCAGTTGTTAAATTGAACTGCCAAGCCTGTCCTAAAGATGGCAGAAGGCACCAGGCAAACAGGCCAGGTGACAGCTGCTTCAAGGCTTGGTGAAATCCACCTTGCAAAATATGATTCAAAAGTTTACAGTTTCACTAATTATATTGATCATAAAAGAATAATGAATGACTAAAGAGCTTTAAGATTTCTTTAATTCTTTTCCTGTAACTCTTACTGAGGACTAATCTTGCAGTGTTTTTCATTGTTTAGTGAAAAGTGTCTACAGGTTGAGAACCTGAAAGAATCAAACTATATAACTAGATTCCAAGACTCTGATAAAGCTGTTTGCTGATTTTACCCTCTTGGGGACATGACTTTGCAGGGGGAGATCTGCTAAGAGAATGAACCATCGCAATGTGTTCTGTGCTCAGGATACATTTATTTTGGTCTCAATATCAGGGCTGGTTATAGCTCCCCTGAGCAAGTGGTTTGCTTCTGCAGTACAGATAAGAATTCTGATGGTGATATTTTCCCCTTTGAGTGCTAGAAAGCTTAGATCCAAGGCTGGAGCCTATTTTTAGCAGGACTCTAAGACTTTATCATATGCATTTTGAATTCTAACTTTTTTTGGTGCTCCATTTTTTTGTTCCTAGCATTGTTTTCCCTTTGCCTTATCTTTCACACCTACTTCTAGTTTATATAACCTGCCTGTATGGTATGTATTTTATAAACTTCCTTAATTCCTTTTTGGCAGGGTAAAGGCAACAAATAGAATTAAATCCAACTAGAACTCTAACTCAAATAAATTCTAATAATGACTTAGATAATGCACTTAAAAATTTAAAAATGCAAAATGCCCACTTTATATTTTCCCAGCTTGATCTGTTGTCTATTGTGAATGCAGGCGCTTCATTTCTTGCCAAGCTTGTGACTATGTCTTGGATAATTTTTTCTATAGATGAAAGAACCTCAGAACTGAAACAATAAACACACAATGATTCAATCTTAATTCTAAATTAGACCTTTACAATAGGTAACATTTCCCCAGAATATTAATTTTTTGTTTCATTGGTGGTTCTTTAAGACTAGATGATACATGTCAATATTCTTTCCCACTAAATTTTAACATGAGTAATACATTAAAACAATTGTATTTATAGTGTTGGATTTCAAAGAAATTTCATTTGCTTCTAATTTTACTTCTCAATTACCAACTTAAAAGTACTATCTCCCTTTTAATGACCAATTTATAAATACATTGATATAAATGTGTTGATATAATGTATTGATATAAATACATTGACCTTCATATCAACCTACTTTAAATACAAACTCATTGACTTGAAATACTACAGATAAATCTTTTAATTGATGTAATACTGGCTTTTAATTTATTTCCCCAAATGCAATGTGAAAATATTTCAAAAAAACAGGTCTTACTATAGTATGTTACCCTAATTGATGTCATGCCATAAGTCAGCTCTTTTGAATTTTAGTGATACAAAAAGAAAAAAGTTTAATCATTACCATAAAAGGACTTGGCAACTACTACACCACAGAAAATGATTAAGACTTAGCACAGTTTTCCATCAGCTGACTCTTAATTTCACAAGCCATCAGCTTTAAAAAATGTTATTCTGTTATAAACACCACAAAAATATTGCCTAGGAAGGAAAATCATATTAAATCTAGAAAATGCACAAAATGTAGTGTTCTAATTTCCATAAAAACTTCACAGCTTTCATTGAAAATGCATGTATCAGAAAATAACTTTTAAAACATTCAATATTTTCTAATTTTGGGAGCAAAACTGATTCAAGTATCTTATTCATTTTTCTAGTTTGGAAAAGAAGCTTTAACGTTATGACTAATTTTAAAACAATCAGATTTACATCTGAAACCTAAACAAGGGACTGCCACCCCCTTCTTTTACCCTCTTCTAGTACTCTCTTAACTAAAACATATTGTAAAATTTGTTTGTCGCTTTCTAGGGTGTCTCGTTTTTTTTTGGTAGTTGGTCTGGGCTTAAATGACAGTAATTTGTTTAAGTGAAAAACCTTGCTGATAAAACTAGAAAAGCAGATCAAGAAAGCGGAACAACAGAGCATTTTAAGTGAAAGTGGTGAATAATGTAATATTTCCTGCAGTTAACTCCAGGTTGGGCAGCTGGAGAATCTCTGTAATTGATTTTATCAGCACCACACTCTTAAGCTAAACTCTTAACTGCTTTAACTGATTTAAAGAAATGTGTATTTTCTTCCTTTTCAGGTCCATAAATCCCATTGTCTTACTATAAACCACTTAAAATGTGTTGACTTCCTCATTCATTTTGATAAAACACACTTATTAAGAACTCACAACATTGATTTCCCCCACCTTTCCTTCAAAAAAAAAAAACTTGAAAACTTCTAAATTTTCACAAATTTTAAAAAATAAACACCAAGCCAAACTTCGACTTAAACTCCTCAAACTGTCCAGATCTGAGGAAACCCGTGACCCCAGGTGTGGGGATGCTCCTGGAACATTCTAGAAGACACAGCGGGGGGTGGGGGGGCTGTGGGGGTGGGTTGTAGGCGCGGCTGGCACCGGGCTTTTTGAGTTGAGAATAAGAAGAAATAGGGGGCACTAAACAAGGGCCTTTCTTGGCGTTCAGGGCTGGTGGGCCAAACAGGCCTCCGTGGCCTCAACATTCTGAGGTGGCCTTGCTCCCCAGATTGGGGAGACGGGAAGGGGGTGCAGCATTTCTCCACAGAGCACCTCAAGCCTGGCTGGGCAGAACCTTCTTGCTCCCTAACTCCCAGCCGTCTGTGCCCCAGAAAGAGCCCGTATACCTAGAAGCCAAGCGCATCCCGCTTCCCGCGGGCTCCTCGCCGCCTCTCCTCAAGGCAGCCAGTAGGGAAGCCCTGTGCTGGTCCAAAACCTCGAAAAACGAGGCCTCGGGGCCCCTGGGCGTAAAGGCCATAAGGACCGACTGCAACAAAAGCGCCCAACAACAGGAGCTCCACCTGGCCTGAGATCACCCTTCTCTGTACCCACAATGCACTTCCAGGGGTGGGGCCTGGAAGGACAGAGCTCCTCTCCCGAGCTGGGGGGGCCGGACTGCGCATGCGCACACCTCACCCCCAGGTGGGGCTGGACTAATGCACGTGCACAGCACTTGCACTGAGACACGTGTGCGCAGGGCTCTATCAGGTGCAACCTCACGGGAGACGAAGTGATGGGCCCCTTCCTGGGTACCTTCTGACAAGCCTCAGGGACCAGCAGGATATATCTGGGATGTGGGACCGAGATTTGAGACCTTGAAATGGTTTTATATCTCCTTTTTTTGGCTAGTTAGGGAAAGTCGTATCAGTGATTTTTCACTAAAACAAGTAGTTATGGCTATCCAACTGTGTATCAGACACAGTTCTAGGCACTGGGTTCAGGTGAGGATCAAGGCAAACGAAACTTCTGCCCTTGCTAGCATTTATGCAGTAGCCGAGGGCTTAAAAACCGATTTCATTCAGCCTCTCCCTTTAAACTCTCATAACCACACCAGTGGGGATTTTGCAAGAGAGGAGAAAGCGGTCCACAAGCCCAGGCAAGCCTGGGTTAACATCCCAGCTCCATCACTTTGTTGGCCTGCCAGATTTTGCAAATTATAACACAAGACCCTCAGTTAAAGTTGAATTGCAGATAAACAGTGAGTACTTTTTTTAAGGATAACTTGGTCCCATGCAATCTGTGGGACACTCTTTTACTAAAAAATTATTTCATTGTTCACCCAAAATTCTTATTTAATTGGTCATCCAGTATTTTAACCTAGCAATCCTCCCCTTGCAGATTGAACTGAGCCTTCACTCCTACTCTCTTCTAGAGCAGAAGACAGAAATTCTGAAGCCTCAGGGAAGGAGTGCTGCCTCTGGGGGACAATTTCCTTGAGGGAGAGGAAACAGGGAGAGGCCCTGGAGCAAGGCGGAGCTGAGGCCTCCCTAGGGAGTAGGGGGCAGGATGGTGTCCTGGGGTCTTGGCCTCAGAAGAGCCACCTGACAGCAGGCCCTCTCCAGGGAACTGTTTTGTTCCCTCAGTTCCTGGTCATTTGATCCTGTTAAAACAAAACTTGCTTCCCACCATAAATAATGAACTCCCTGTGTTGATAATGATGACTCTGTACCAAGCCCAGTGCTGAGGGCCTTTATTATTATCAACACTAATACCTCCTCACTGCCTACCTTGCACTAGACAATTGTAGTCTGCCCTAGGCAATTGTAGTTACTGAGGACACGTCTGTGAGCAAGGCGCGCAGAGTCCTTGCCCTTAGGGGACTCACAGTCTAAGGGGAAGGGGGAAATTGAGGAGAAATAGGTGGACACCGAAATAATTGAGGGCAAGCTGTACATTTGAACCAACAACCCTATGCAGTAAAAATTATTCTATCTGTTTCACAGATGAAGAAACTAAGGCTTGGAGAGCTGGAGCGGGTTGTGCAAGACTGCATTGTGATCAGCATGATTAAAGGTAAATCTCGACTCCAAAGTGGAGCTCTGACCATTAGGTTATGAGGCACCACTGAGAGTCTGGCTGGAAATGAGTCATAATTTTGTGAGGGTGTCTTTGGTGGTGGAATTGCCCCTCCGGGCTCAGGTTTCTCACCTTTCAGATGAAGGCTTTGCAGCAGGTGGGTTCTCCATGAGAAATAAACAAATAAAAGGTCTTTAAATGGTGAGACTGAGTGGGGTGCCTGTTTTCCAAGACTGGAACCATCTGACCACTGGTCTCTGTCCCTTAGGAGGGCAGACCCTTCTGTATCACATAGCACTAACACTCAGCCAGAAGCCAGTGGCCTCTCTAGACCTGACATGAAATGAAAGGTCCTGAACTGGGTGGGGGCAGGGGCAGGGGATCAAAACAGTGAAGGGAACAAACCCATAATAAAGCTGGCCTTCCTACAGGCAGAAACTGCAAGGTGCAGACTTGAAAGGGCATCTCTGGATTCTTCCTGCATGGATCAGAAGGGGTGGCCTGAGCCCTCCTCCCAGGCAGCACATCCCTGCCCTCAGTTATCCACCTCCACTCAGGTAACCTGCATGCACCTCCTTTACATCAAAGTGAACTGGCCCAGCCCTGAGCTGAGAGGAAAGCAGAAAAACAGATTCCACCCCTCACGACAGATTGCAGAGGAAACTTGCAGGTGCCACTTTGCAGGGCAGTCCCAATAGCAAGTTCTTTGCTCCTGCTGGCCCGCTGCGCTCAGCACAGGGACTAGGGTCGGGGTCAGGGAGCTCCCCAAACTGCATTCCAACTACACACAGTTGGAAAAGTGAAGAGCTTTTCCCCAAACCTTACTTGCAGGTCTTTCCTCCAAGCTCAGCCTATCAGTCAGAAATGTGTTTGAGGACCAGCAGCTTCATGATGGTTGGAAAGAGCATAAGATGCAGTGATCATTTCCATGTCTAATGCACCAAGAGGTGGGGAAGGATGGGGAGGCCCTTTTGGCAAACCAGACAGGAGAGGATCCTGTGCTTGGTACATTTAAACAAAGTGGTTTTTTCCTTAAAGCAAATGTGAATGAATTTTAACATCTTGTAGAATTTGAGAGGAAAGAGTAGAGAAAGTGCTATAATAATTTCTTTACTTCTTGGGGCTTTATAAGGTGTTTTACTTTTGTGTGTATATTTTAAAATTTTTAAAAAAATTGTAAGAATGATACATGCTTCCATAAAATACTTACATAATTCAGAAGGTATGAAGTTAAAATGAGCAAACTGCAACTCCATTGCCCTGCGTCCTGCTCGGTACTCTGTGATCCTTCTGACCCTGGAATTAGTCCTTCTTGCCCTGGGGGCCTTTGCACTTGCTCTTCCCTTAACAGCCTGGAATGCTTTGTCCTCTTTTCTCTCTGTGCTTTCTGCCCTCCCTCCCTAAATCCAGCCTGGCTCGTTCTCCTGTGTCCTTCAGATCTGGTCTGGACCCCTTTCCACACTGCCCCTAAGTCTTGACCCTTGCTTTTTCCTTGTCTTGACATGCCTTCCTTTCTCCTCCCTGGGGAGCAGGCGCTGAGCTCAGCCAGTGGTCCCAGTTCCTCTGCGCCTGACACAGGGAAGATACTCAGCTGTGCTTGTTGAATGAAGAGTGACACTCTGAGGTATTTATCTCTGTAATCTCTCTTTAGTATTTCATCCAGTCATCTTTCTACAGATGTCCAAAGAGGCATCATTTTTAAAAATAATTTTATTTCTTTATTTTTTGGCTGTGCTGGGTCTTTGTTGTTGTGTGGGCTTTCTTTCTAATTGTGGCAAGTGGGGGCCACTTTGTAGTTGTGGTGTGCGGGCTTCTCATTTTGGTGGCTTCTTCTGTTATGGAGCATGGGCTCAAAGGCTTCAGCAGTTGCGACTTCCGGGCTCTAGAGCACAGGCTCAGTAGTGTGGCCCATGGGTTTAGTTGGTCCAAGGCATGAGGAATCTTCCCAGATCAGGGATGGAATCCATGTCTCCTGCATTGGCCAGTGAATTCTTTACCACTGAGCCACCAGAAAAAGTGAAAGTGAAAGTCGCTCAGTCTTGTCGGACTCTGCGACCCCATGGACTATACAGTCCTTGGAATTCTCCAGACCAGAATACTGGAGTGGGTAGCCTTTCCCTTCTCCAGGAGATCTTCCCAACCCAGGGATCAAACCCAGGTGTCCCACATTGCAGACGGATTCTTTACCAGCTGAGCCACAAGGGAAGCCCACGAATACTGGAATGGATAGCCTATCTCTTCTCCAGGGGATCTTCCCAATCCTGGAATTGAACCAGGGTCTCCTACATTGCAGGCAGATTCTTTACCAACTGAGTTATGAGGGAAGCCCAGCACAATTTTTTAATATGAACAAGCCTCTACTGTGAATTATTCTGGTGTTGCTGCCACTGGTCATAACATCAAACATGCAAAATCTCATTTACTCCTTCCCATTTTAAGAGAGAAAGTTGAAGCTCTGAGAAATATAAGTGAATTTGCTGGGTTTTCTGGAGATGCAGATGACAAAACATGGACAGGAATAGTTTCTCAGCTCTTAGCCAACACATGATAATGCCTCTAAGTCAAGGTAACTTAGTGCTGATGAATAAATTCACACATTTTTCATAGCCAGTGATTGTATACCTGGATGTAGGTTGTAAGGCAGAGCAATGAAACAAAGTTAAATTGAATTTTATTAACGGCCCCAAAATATTTGTAAGTCTGTAGGTCATTTTACTGATGAAGTCATGCTTGTTTTTAGGGAGGGGCTATGTAATCCACTCCCATAGACCCAACACCAGCTGCAGTGATTGATCAACCAGGAGTTTGTTTGGATTTTCCCATAAAAACCCAAACAAACATTTTGGCCAATCCAGTACATCCTCCCCTTCCCCACCCTCATTCCAGATTATTTAGAAGCAAATCCTGGGCATCGTATTACTTCATCCACAAGTATTTGAACAAATATCTCTAAAAAATAAGGATCCTTTAAAAAATAACCATGATCCATTATCATATCAAAACTTGACTTCACGATCATCCTTTCACATCACGAATTTGCTCTCACTGTTGAAATTTCCCAGCCATTTCATGAATTGTTCTTGTCAAAATGCAGACAGGGTACATCTTTGCATGACTGTGGGTTGATATTTTTCTCATTGCTGCTGTTGCTAAGTCGTGTCCGACTCTTCGAGACCCCATGGACTGCAGCACACCAGACTTCCCTGTCCTTCACTATCTCACTGAGTTTGCTCAAACTCATATCCATTGAGTCAGTGATGCCATCCAACCATCTCATCCTCTGTTGCCCCCTTATACTCTTGCCCTCAATCTTTCCCAACATCAGGGTGTTTACCAGTGGGTCGGCTCTTCATATCAGGTGGTCAAAGTATTTTAACTTCAGTTCAGCACCAGTCCATCCAATGACTATTCAGGGTTAATTTCCTTTAGGATTGACTGGTTTGATCTCCTTGCAGTCCAAGGGACTCTCAAGAGTCCCCCTGCTCCAACACCGCAGTTCAAAAGCATCAATTCT